GGGGGGGTGGGCGTGCCCCCCACTCCAAAACGTGCCCCCCCCAATAAATGTCCCCTCTTGGGACCTCCATAGCACCCCCAAATCACCCCCAGGATCCCCTAAGGTCCCTCCCAGGGTCAATAGGGATCAGCTCATGGGAGGTGAGGAGCACCTGGAGCTTTACCTGCACCTCCTGCTGAGCTGGAAGATCATGGGGGAGGGGGTCTGGGTGTCACCCCAGTGTCCCCAAAGACATCCAGCTGCCCAGGTGTCACCCCATGTCTCCCTGTGTCCTCAGCTGTCCAGGTGTCACCTCCAGGGCCCCAGCTGTCCAGGTGTCACCCCATGTCCCCAGCTCTCCAGGTGTCACCCCAGTGTCCCCAGAGACACCCAGCTGTCCAGGTGTCACCCCAGTGTCCCCAGCTGTCCAGGTGTCACCCCCAGGTCCCCAAAGACACCCAGCTGTCCATGTGTCACCCCATGTCCCCCTGTGTCCTCAGCTGCCCAGGTGTCACCCCAGTGTCCCCAGCTGTCCAGGTGTCACCCCAGGTCTCCAGCTCTCCAGGTGTCACCCCCATATCCCCAAAGACACCCAGCTGCCCCCCTCACCTTCATCTTGAAGGCCTTCTTGCCCCCCTTCATGGCGTTGTCGTCGAAGGAGAACTCGTTCTCCCTGATGATGGCCCTGCTGTCCTTGTCCCCAGTGTAGGTGACCACGTAGAAGGCCGGGGCCCACATCTGGAACTCCCGCTCCCAGTTGATGATGGTGGAGAGGGGGGCACTGACGAGGAACGGGCCCTTGGTGTGGCCCTGGGGGACAGCGCGTCACACGGGGACACGGGGACGGGGCCCTTGGGGACGTGGGGACAGTGTGGGACAGGGGCCTGGGGGACATGGGGACAGTGTGGGACAGGGGCCTGGGGGACATGGGGACAGTGTGGGACAGGGGCCTGGGGGACATGGGGACAGTGTGGGACAGGGGCCTGGGGGACATGGGGACAGTGTGGGACAGGGGCCTGGGGGACATGGGGACAGTGTGGGACAGGGGCCTGGGGGACATGGGGACAGTGTGGGACAGGGGCCTGGGGGACATGGGGACAGTGTGGGACAGGGGCCTGGGGGACATGGGGACAGTGTGGGACAGGGGCCTGGGGGACATGGGGACAGTGTGGGACAGGGGCCTGGGGGACATGGGGACAGTGTGGGACAGGGGCCTGGGGGACATGGGGACAGTGTGGGACAGGGGCCTGGGGGACATGGGGACAGTGTGGGACAGGGGCCTGGGGGACATGGGGACAGTGTGGGACAGGGGCCTGGGGGACATGGGGACAGTGTGGGACAGGGGCCTGGGGGACATGGGGACAGTGTGGGACAGGGGCCTGGGGGACATGGGGACAGTGTGGGACAGGGGCCTGGGGGACATGGGGACAGTGTGGGACAGGGGCCTGGGGGACATGGGGACAGTGTGGGACAGGGGCCTGGGGGACATGGGGACAGTGTGGGACAGGGGCCTGGGGGACATGGGGACAGTGTGGGATGGGGGCTTGGGGACATGGGGACAGTGTGGGACAGGGGCCTGGGGGACATGGGGACAGAGTGACACGTGGGGACAGTGTGGGATGGGGGCTTGGGGACGTGGGGACAGTGTGGGACAGGGGTCTGGGGGACATGGGGACAGTGTGACACGTGGGGACAGTGAAGGATGGGGTCTTGGGGACGTGAGGACAGTGTGACATGTGGGGACAGTGTGGGGCAGGGCATGGGGACAGTGGGACACGTGGGGACAGTGTGGGACAGGCTTTGGGGACGTGGGGACAGTGTGACATGTGGGAACAGTGTGGGATGGGGGCTTGGGGACATGGGGACAGTGTGGGACAGGGGCCTGGGGGACATGGGGACAGAGTGACACATGGGGACAGTGTGGGATGGGGGCTTGGGGACGTGGGGACAGTGTGGGACAGGGGTGTGGGGGACATGGGGACAGTGTGACACGTGGGGACAGTGAAGGATGGGGTCTTGGGGACGTGAGGACAGTGTGACATGTGGGGACAGTGTGGGGCAGGGCATGGGGACAGTGGGACACGTGGAGACAGTGTGGGACAGGCTTTGGGGACATGAGGACAGTGTGATATGTGGGGACAGTGTGGGGCAGGGCATGGGGACAGTGGGACACGTGGAGACAGTGTGGGACAGGCTTTGGGGACGTGGGGACAGTGTGACATGTGGGGACAGTGTGGGGCAGGGCATGGGGACAGTGGGACACGTGGGGACAGTGTGGGACAGGCCTTGGGGACGTGGGGACAGTGTGACATGTGGGGAGGGTGTGACACAGGGAGAGGGGACCAGGAAGGTGACACCAAGGGCCAAGCAGGAAACACCAGGGGTCATTGGGGTGACCCCAGGGCTCAGGCAGGTGACACCAGGGCCTGGGCAGGTGACCCCAGAGGTGAAGGGGGAGACCCCAGGGGCTTGGGCAGGTGACCCCAGGGGTTAAGGTGGAGACCCCAAGACCCACGTGGGTGCCACCAGGGACCAGGCAGGTGACCCCAAGACTTGGACAGGTGACCCCAGGGCTTGGGCAGGTGACCCCAGGGCCAAGGCAGGTGACCTCAGGGCCAAGGCAGGTGACCCCAGGAGTTAAGGTGGAGACCCTTGTGGGTGCCACCAGGGACCAGGTAGGTGACCTCACAATGGGGCAGGGGACCCCAGGGCCAAGGCAGGTGACCCCAGGGGTTAAGGTGGAGACCCCAAGACCCACGTGGGTGCCACCAGGACTTGGGCAGGTGACCCCAGGGGTTAAGGTGGAGACCCCAGGGCCCCTGTGGGTGCCACCAGGGCCCGGGCAGGTGAACAGAAGACCCAAGTGAGATGCCCTCACCTCCTTATAGAGGGAGTAGAGGAAGACGATGGTCTGGATGGTCTTGCCCAGGCCCATCTCATCAGCCAGGATGGTGTCTGTGCTCTGGGCCCAGGAGAAGCGCAGCCAGTTCAGCCCCTCCAGCTGGTAGAGGTGAAGGGTTCCCCCCGTGGCCGTGATGAACCGGGGCTGGGTCTCGTACTTCACCGTGGGCTGGGGGGGAGTGGGGGGCAGTGATGGGGGACCCAGGCATCCGGGGGGTCAACCCCCCTCCCCAGACCTCCCCTAGAGGGTTATTAACAACATAGAGGCCATGGAGGACCCAGGCATCCGGGTGGTCAACCCCCTCCCCAGACCCCCCCAGGGGAGAATTAACAACATGGAGATCATGGGGGACCCAGGCATCCGGGGGGTCAACCCCCCTCCCCAGACCTCCCCTAGAGGGTTGTTAACATGGACATTATGGGGGACCTAGGTATCCGGGGAGGACCCAGGCATCCAGGGGGGTCAACCCTCCTCCCCAGACCCTGCTAAAGGGCTATTAACAACATGGAGGTCATGAGGGACCCAGGCATCCAGGGGAGGGACCCAGGCGTCCAGGGGAGGGACCCAGGCATCCAGGGGGGGATCCAGGCATTCGGGCACTCACATCATT